GTTTACAATGCTTGCGTCATGCAGAGAGTTTGCAGGTCCATATTCTTGCTTCAAAATCGATTTAGCATTCCAAACAAGTCCAGTGCTTCCTAAACCTCGCCATGCTCCCAACCATGCTGCCCGCCAAACCCCTCCGCTCTTATGAGGATGACTTCAGAACAATGCTTGGCTGTGGGACCGCCATCAGTATGGATCGTCACTGGCCAAGTGGTATGTAGGCAACGGCGGATACGTCACCGTTCTCTCGGTTTCAATGCGATTTCCTCGATGCACTAGGCTCAGAACACTTTTATTCGCATTCATTATCATTGTTTTTCCGATAATTTACACAACTGTAAACCGGGAAAAAACGCGCAATGCAGGGGGAAATATGAGTAGAGGCAGGAGAGGGGTATGAAGAGCGAGGGGACAGGAAAGGGGCGAGCAATGGGGAAAATATATACAGAGAAAGAGAGCGCAAAGAAAAAAGAAACGAAAAGTACAATTTACATGCTAACAAACATCAGATAACAAAACAATAGCTAATCCGGTACATCCTGTAACTCATTATCATCATTATCATAAGCAGGGCGATCGAGAAGCAGCTTCCGGGTCTCAAATCAATTATCCAGCAGATTTGTTACAAATGAAACGATCGCCTTTTGAAACGGTCATGAGCAGTTTCACACAAAACCAAGTGAACCGGGGAGCTGCTTTTGCCGAAATTCCAAAAACAAAGAATCAACGGACTGTGTGCATGCACTATTTGCGCGGCACGCTGTACATATCAAGCAAGAAAATTGGTCTCCAGGGACGGAGGGGAAGTCGAGTTCACCAACTGGATGTGAGCACCAATTGAAGCAACTCTAGCAATGCAACTCGAGAGCCACACTCGGGAAATAACAGTTGTCGTGGTGTCACTGAGATATACCGCTCGCAGAAATGGAAGTATTTTGGGAATCGAAAACAGTTCTAAAGCATCAACGATATTGTGACAACTAGGTTGAAATGATGATAAAAGAGACCAGAGATCGATGCCCCTACTGTATTTCGGAACCATATTATGCCCGCAAAACTGCCACAGGAAAGGCCTGCTCATCCGGAGGTATTACTAAAATGCTAAAAAAATAATCTCATTCAGATAAAAAAATCTTGCTCCAGCTCCTTTTCTCCGGGTATCTTTTATTTTGTGCATAAACAGGTTGCAAATAAAAAAAAAAAAAAAAAAAAAAAAAAAAC